TGATTTTGTAGTATTTGACGTGACGCGCAGTGAAGACAGTTTTTATGATCTGATTTGGTTTTATAGGAAGAAAGCTTACATGTGAAAAAAATACGTCAATTGTATTGTCCCAATCAACGTGTCTATATTTTCCTTTAAATTCACCAAAAGTAGTAAGTTGTAACGTAATTACCCCAAGATTTTTGTTACCCCCAAGATTTTTTTACCCCCAAGATTTTTGTTACCCCAAGATTTTTGGTTACCCCACTAGAATTTATTCATCATGTGACTTTATTGTGTAATTTGGGCAAATAAAATCTCAAGGCCATCATTTTAAGTGAAGAATTAATCGTTTATTGGTTGGGCGCAGATCGATAAGAATTAAGATGTTAAAGTCCGGACCGAACTAGTTTGGTAAGATCCCAGTCTGGTTCCAATCTTAGAGTGGTCCTTAAAGTTTACTTTAAGGAACAGGAGGAAACGTTGATACGTCACAAAATCGTTACACAATTGATAAAATTTTTTTTTTATATTATTTTACAATACTTTTTTGGAAGGCTCGTTTGACTTATCTTTTCTATGAATATTGAAAATAATTAAACAAACATGAAGCTTTCTTCCTATAAAACCAAATCAGATCATAAAAACTGTCTTCACTGCGCGTCACGTCAAATACTACAAAATCAGTGCAATGCTTTCTCAACGAAAAATATATCCAGATTCAAAAAGTTCGGATGAAACAAATGAAACAACATCTCTTATATCTGGTATTTTTAAAAACAATAAATGCGATTCAGATAATTTGAAAAAAACTTTACTTTGTAATTTCGGTGAATTGCCTCTCTGGCTTCAAGATAATTGTGATATTCTTAGAGGTATGAATGAAATAGATTTATCTTTTTTTCAATAAACGTTATCACATTTTTTACTATATTTTTTTAGGGTATCGAAGACCAACATTTTCTTATCTAAAATGTGCTGAATCATTGTTTTATGTTCATAACGAAAGTGGTTCGTAAAGAGGATATTTAACCAACTTTTCGAAAAATCATATAAGAAATCCATATAAGATCAACTAAAAATTTAATGTTTACTTTATTTAGTTAATATCTGGTCCCATCTTGTTGGTGCAATATCATTTATATTTCTGGCATTTATAACTAATTATGTATTATCGTATCGCCCTTCAATTATTTGGTGGGATTTTATCGTTTTTTACATCTTTTTGACCGGTGCCATGATCTGTTTGGGACTTTCTTCTACTTTTCATACATTTTGCTGTCATTCAGAGAAAGTGAGTTTTTACTTTCTCTTAAATTCATGAAACAATTCTGTAACTAAACATAACTAAAAATTTGTTTGACTGTATTTAGGTATGTGCGAAATGGAGTAGATGTGACTACATTGGAATCGTGACTTTAATTGTGTATATACTCTTTATTTTGTTATTATTATGCTTATTTTGATTATTATCATTTTTATAGTAAAATTAAATTATATTTTATTGCAGAGGGTCCTTTTATCCAATGATATATTATGGTATCTACTGAATTTTATATACTTCATGTCTATTCATTTGATTATATTTGAGTATTATGTATAGAATTATTTTAATTTGCTATACATTTTAGGTTTTTATTGCCATAATAAATTAAAAATCTTTTATCTGGCATTAATAACTTTGTTTGGATGCGCTACGGTAACTGCAATTATTACATCATGCATTTCAAATATTGAATTCGTCTTAAATTTACAAAATCTTGAATATTAGATATGCGTAGCGCTTGCAAACAAGTTTAGAACACCAGAATTTAGATGGTTTCGTACAGGACTATTTATATCTATGGGATTAAGTGCTATTATACCTTTAATACATGCTTTAATTATTTATGGGGTAATTAGGTTTATTATTAATTGTAGGATTTGTAGGATTTCTAATTTCATGTTTTGAAACATTAACAATTACAAATAATTACAAATGTTTTAGGTTGAACTATCTGTTAATGTAATCTCTCTTAATTGGATGGTTGTGATGGGAGCATTTTACATTACTGGTGCTTTGATTTACGGCGCAAGGTATACATCCAATTTGTACTTTTTTTAAAAGATTGCTTCAAATAACATCTAGTTTTTTTTTCAATAGAATACCTGAAAGATGGTTTCCTGGAAAATTCGACATTTATGTAAGCAATGTCATCATTTGGTTATATTATGCTCATTATTCGCATAATTAATTTTGTCGAATCTTTTTTTTTTTTGCAGGGATCATCACATCAAATATTCCATTTTTTTGTTGTGGCTGCAGCATTTGTACATTATTTTGGTGTTATGCAAGCAATGATGTATTGGCATGATAAAAATCATAATTGCGAACTAGATATCACAATGTTGACACCTAGTTTTATATATTGAAAATTTTTATTCTACAAATATACGACAGTCATCTTCATAGTGTGCTTCTGTTATGAAGGTATTAAAAAAAAATACATGTCTTGTTAAACTAATTGATTCGAGCAACAGACTATAGTGGACTATTTAGTTAGTAAGCCTGTCTATAATTTTAATAATCTAATCATTGCAATAGAATTATCATTCAAGTCGCCAGGAAAGCGTTTGCTTCTATCTTCCATTTTGTTTTTGCTTCGGTGGTTTCATCTAAAGCTATTAACGTTTTATAGAAAAATGACAATTTTTACTCGCCGTATAATATGAATTGTTAAAATGCTAAAATTTTTTTAAAATATAACTTAGGATTCTACATGATACATACATATCTTAAATATGGGGTGGGTCAATAAAAATCAAGCAAACTATTTTTATTGAATTTTTTTTAAAACTTTACACACCAATAACTTTGATCAAATTTAATAAAATTTTTTTAAACAAATTTTATAAGTTTGTAGAATTTATTTAAAAAATTTTTTATTAAATTTGATTAAGTTTTTGTTGAGTTATTGTTGAAAAAAATTTACTTAGAAAAAACTTGCTTGATTTCTACTGACTCAACCCCATATACCGACTAGTTTTGAATAATTCTATTAGTAATTGTTTAAAATTGGTATATTCTTCGATTTGATATTTTAAACTATATATTTCAAGATATAAATGATGTGGATAAACATGTTGACTTGTTGCGGCAGTTAGGTTCAATGGTTATGCGTCAGTTTATTACCTGACCTCACATACCCGAAGTTTGGTGATTTTTATTCTATTCAATTTACAAAAATTATTCATTTCTAGTCAATAACATGGGATATCTTTATATAAAACTACAGCACAAGAACGATAATTAATGGCTTAGTGATTTTATTTTTATACTTGATTTTGAATAGTGTAAAAAAAAATACCAAATACAAATATTTTAAAAAGTTATTGTATATCTGCATACTGAGAAAGAAATGTTTTTAGATTATATGCCAATACTAGCAAATAATTTATATTAATTTACTGATTTATAAAACCTTGTAATTTATTTTATTTGGTTTTTTTTAGATTAGTATTACAGTCAGAACTCCATAAATGCACACTCCATAAATGCACGGACTAAGTAAAAACTCTCTAAATGCACGGTATAGTCTGGTCCCAACTCATAAGAGCTATATATAATTTCTACTCTATAAATGCACACACTCTCTAAGTGCACTATTTCAAAAATTTTTCCTATGGTCCCGACGGCAGTGCATTTACGGAGTTCTGACTGTAGTTTTATGAATACAGCCTCTCGTTAATATCAACCCAACCAATTATAATCTGCTCGGTTTATGTCAAGTGATGATTATACGAAATTCAATAAACTTACATATGCTCGACCAATCAAAATTGATTACATACATGTAAACAGTTTTTTCATTAACAAACGGGATAGTTTTTCTAACTTTAGATTAAGTTTTCTCAGTCTTTTCAGCAACCACCTAACTAAATATAAAGAAATTTTATTATTTCAATTCTACATATTTGTAGAATTGAATAAAAAAAATTTGTTAGATGGTTGTCAAAAAAACTTTGCTCAAAGTTTTAAAAAATGTTTATTGATAGAATAGAATTTTTCTAAGCTTCAAGTGAATTTTTCTTTATAACTACCTGACCAAATTCAATAAAAATTTTTTATATTCAACTTTCATACTTGTAGGATTAAAAAAAAAAAATTTATTTAATTTGGTTAGATAGTTATTAAAAAACTTTAATCAAAGTTTAAAAATTTTTTTAAAATTAATTTAGGTCATACAAAGTTAATTTTTTGGTTCTTGTAATATAAAATTTGAAAAATAACCTGGCAACCCAGATTTTAATTTTATTTTCAAAAAATTTTATATATAAAATGTATATAAAAATTTTTATAAACTTCAAAAAAACTTCACCCAAATAATAAATATAGTTAAAAATTTTTTAAGAATTTTGTGAAATTTGATTTGGTCAGATTATAAGAACTAATTTATTAAGTTTGTATAGCCTTATCAATAAACAAAATAATTTTTTTTAAGCATTAAGTAAAATTTTTTGATAAATATCTATCAAGCTAATATAAAAAATTTAACTAAATAGTTGTTAAAAAAGCTTTGCTTAAAGTTTAAAAAATTTTTAATTAATTTATTAAAATAATTGTTAAAATTTTAAAATTATATAAAATTTTTTTAATAAAATTTAACAAAAATATTTTCAAGAGACAATTTATACACCGCACTCTGCAATGTTGCCGCATCCCTGCAGATCATAAAATCAGATATAATATGAAATCAAACCAACTAGTTTTTTTATTAGTTAAAATTAGGGTGAGGTAAGGGTAGTTTATGGGCTTGAAAAGAGGTTTTATAGTAAAATTTTAGGAGAAAATTTTTTTGTTAGAACACAAAAAGTGGTTTTATATATGAAGTTTTGTGTTATAAACAATTTTTAACAAAGCGAACATTTGTTTTGAATTTTCTAATTGTGCTATGTTATACCTGATCTTAAATTTTGATTGGTCAATCATGTGAGAGGTGGTAAATTTGTGACATCGCAGGGTGCAGTGAATAAATATACTCTATTTTCAAATATATAAAATTAAATAAAAAAATTTTAATCAAATTTGTTTAAATAGTTATTAAGAAAACTTTATTTAAAGTTAAAAATATTTATCATATTTAGTAATGAAACTTCAAAATTATATATATATATATAATCAATTTTAATTAAAATTTTTTTTTTCATATATTGGTAGCCTTGTTGGTATCTTTTATTCGATCAAAGCATGTGCACAAGGTACATTTAAACTATCTAAGTTGAAGATCCGACATCACTTGGCTGCCCCTAAGGGTGTCCAAGTGTGGTCTGTCTCATCGATTAAGGCTATTGTCTATACCGGAGGGCTATACCAAGCTAGCCTAAGAAACCATCACAAAATGGTTTCAAAACAAATGAATTTTTTACTATATTATATTGGCAATTTTTCTTTTCTAAACTATCCACCTTTTTTGAACAAAGCTTTAAATCTAATTTTCTATAAATAAACCAAAAAATTTCTTCTTTTAACACAGGGATATTGCCAAACTTCTCTCATTCATGATTATATTTCTTTTTCCTTTTTCTTCTTTTCCAGTTTAACCTATCTTTTCCAATTTGTGATCCGGATCTTGAGCATCTTCTCTTGATCTTTTTTATGGCTTTTCCTTCCTGGTTTATAGCTTCGTACTTCCTTTCTTCTTCTGCTTGAGGGCTTGATCTATCGGTTTCTTCCAGGAGTATTCTTCTATGTATTCTCTTTTTTTTCAAGTATCTTAAGTTTTCCTTCAGTTTCTTCATTTCGAGGTCTTGATCAGTCTGCCTGAGTTCTCTTTTTTTCGTATTTTGGATATAGAAATCTTTTTCTCTACTTTTCTTAATCTTCTTACTCTTCTTTTCTTTTCTGAAACTTGGTTTTCTTCCCAAGAATCTATCTTGTATTTCGTTAAAGATCTTCTGATTTTTAAGATGTTCTACAAAGATCTTTTCTAATATTCCTAATAATGTGTCTTTCTTTTTCTTTTTCCAATTTTTTATATCTCTCGGCCTAGGTGTTGCTGTGCTCTGCGGTGAATTCATATTCAAGTTCTAATAGGACTTCAGTCTATGTATCCATTTTTCCAAAAGATCTTTTTTCGTCTTTTTTCACATTTTCTTGTTATATTGTTTTTTTTTTTTTTTTTTTGGTGTTAAGGTGAGGCCTTGCTCATATCTTTATTAATAATTTTTAAAATAGTTACAA